TTGTCCCAAAATAATTCGTTCATTCATTAAAAAATACAAGAGCTGGAATTGTAGCTCCATGGTAGAGCACTCGCCTAGCACGCATGAGGCTATGGGTTCAATCCCCGATATGGCAAAAAGGGACAGACAGCAGGAGGGTGGGGAGGGTGATCCCAGGCGTGCAGTCTGTCACTGAAGTTCCTGAGACCCAGGTGACCCCAGGGGCTGGCAGGCCCACAGGTGTTGGCAGTGAGCAAAGCTGCAGGGAAAGGGCAGAGCCCTCTGTCCTCACTGTCGTTTTCCAGCCATGTGGCTCCTTGGCACCAGTTACAGGGTGGCCCTGTGCCCCAGCTGTGCAGTGCTGAGGGATCTGGTGGCCGCCAGGGCCAGTCTCCCACGTGACAGCTCAGGACACCAATAGGGGAAGCAGCTCTGTGGCAGAGATGAGAGTTACAAGGGGAAAAAAAAGGAGGCACAGGCACTCAGGGAGGAGGAGTGTGGCAAGGAAGAGGGGACATCTGTGACGGTTCCGGGAAGAGGCGGCACTCGAGATGTGCCTTGAAGGATGCAGAGGCTTTCTGGAGCGAGCCAGAGAAGCGGGCGCGGTGCCCTTGCAAGGTCCCTGCTCGGCAAGGCGGAACGGAGCAGCAGGGCAGTGGCTCAGGTGGCAGTCACGCCCTGGCCCCAGCCTCAGCAGCTGTGGGCAGGCCTGGGCCGCCGTGCCCAGCAAGACCCCTCCTGGCCCCGACCAGAGGCCCAACGGGACACAGCTGTGTGCTAGGCTCTGTGGGCAGCGGGGTGGCCATTCTGCACGCGAGCCCTTGTCATCACTCATGCACAACAGCTGAGACTCCCAAAGACCACCATGAGTGGGTCCCTGTGGCCTCGTAACACCTACCCCGGTCCAGGCGCGAAAGCAAGAAACAGACTGAGGGAAGCTGCGTGGTTCGAGTGTTTTCCCAAGATTTGTGCCCACAGGGAGGGGGTGCGGGTGCCAGGTCACCTCCAGACCCGGAAGTCCAGGTGGGGACACCAGAACCTCTACTGCTGACCTGCCCAGCACCAAGCAGATTCCAAGCTCAGGCTGTGGAGGGGAAGGAAGACAGCACCCCACCCACCATGATCCAGAGATGGGTGCCACTTCCTCCTGTAGATGCCCCCCCACAGGGCAGCCCAGGCCTGCCCTGGCACAGCCAGTGGCCACACATCCCTGGACACAGTGCACACAATGCCCTGGGCCCAAGAGGAAGGCAGGCTTCCTTCCCAAGTCCCCTCCCCCAGGCCACGCTGGCTCCTGCCCGGGGTCTGCAGAATATCCAGGCTTCCAGATAAAAGGGGAAGGGCGCCTTCCCTTCCAAGCCCACCCCACACTCTGAGCTGATTCTGCATTTTGGACCCCAGGAAAGTCAGGGCTGGGCAGCACCCCCTCCCCCAGCGAGGTCCAGGGAGAGCGGGAAGGGGGAGGGAGGAGGCAGCAGCCACCCGCAGGCACACAAGCTCGGGCAGGAAGTGGAAGAGGAGAAAGCCTGTCCCCTGCTCAGGCTGCAGCCTGCTCCCAGACCCCAGTCCAACCACATGGCAAATGTGGACGGAAACGTGGACTCCCCTTAGGCCTCCCATCCCTGGCTCCTCTACTGATGGCTTCCAGCTTCCCTGGCCCCACTGTACAAATTGAAACAAAGTAGGAATAAGAGCTGGGACTTCCTCCGCTGTGTGGCTCTATCTGCAGTTGGCAGGGCACAGGCCGAGCAGGCTGTACTCACCACTTCCGGGAAAGGGAGGTGCAGAGCCAGCCCACTTAGGGGCTTGTGGGGGGCGCTGAAGCCAGGGGTTTCCCCCAGGTACCTCCCGACCATCCCCTCTGCAGGCCCCATCCCTGCCTCCTCCCCTCCCACCTGCATGGGGGTGAAGTCCCCGTCCCAGGATTGAAGGGATTAAAATTCATGAAACACAACATCCCCGATCCAGACAAGTGCTCCACAGCCTCCCGGGGGTGCCAGGCCCCCAAGCCTGTGTCAAAGCTGAAAGCACCATCCAATGGCCTTGCTGCTCTCAACTCTGTTTTTGTTTGGTTTTGGTTTGTTGAGACAGGGTCTCTCTGTGTAACCCAGGCTGGCCCTGGACTCCAGGCGATCCTCCTGCCTCAGCCTCTCAAGTGCACTCTACAGAAGAGGAAATGTGCTCAGAGAGAGTCAACACACAGTAGGTGGCACCAAGTGCCAGGCTCCAACTGAGGTTCCATGCCCACTGCACTGGAAAGTCCCAGGATTTAGATACCCGGCAGCTCGGTGCTCCCTCCGGCACGAAGGCCACAAAACACAGACACCCTCTGCTACCACAGCCTGATGAGGACCACGCCCCTCAACCGTGGGCCCTAAATCATGGCCCACCCTAGCCCCCTATGGCTGCGACTGGATTCTCCCTAAGGAGCTCAGCCTGGACCCATTCACCAGCGCATAGGGCCACGAATCCCCTTCTCGACAGACACTCAAGCCTGACCTCCACCGCAGCACACACAACCAGGGCCTCCCCACCTCCAGCCACAGCAGGATGGCGGCCCAGCCCTCCCCACAGCAACCTAAGGAGCTGCCTCCTGTCCACCTGGGAAAAGGCTCAGGCGAGGGGAGGAGGGAGCCTTATTAAGTTTCCCACTAAAAGGGTGCAGAGATGACAGGCGTGGCGGCACACACCTGTAATCCCAGCACTCGGGAGGCTGAGGCAGGAGGATCGCTGTGAGTTTGAGACCAGCCTGGGCTACACAGTGAGTAAAGTTGAATTCCAGGTCAGCTTCAACTACAAAGTGAGACCGTATCTCAAAAAAGAAAAAGGTGCAGAGAACCTGGCACAGTGGCATAGATAGACCTGTAAGCAAAGCACTTGGAAGGCTGAGGCAGGAAGATCACAAGTTTGAGCCCAGCCCAGGCAACTTGATGACGCAGTGAGACCCTCTCTCAAAATAAAAAAGGCTAGGGCATCCCTTGAAGTTGATCCCCAGTACCACCAAAATTGCTTTTTTAAATAAATAAACATAGGGCTGGGGATTTAGCTCAGTGGTTCCGCTGCCTGCCTTGTAAGCACAAGGACCTGAGTTCGATCCCCAGTACCAATAAATAAACAAAGAGGATGGCAGAGGATGAGCAGGAGCAGAAGGCGCCAGTTCGCACTGCTCTAGCAACTGCCCCCAGCAAGTCAGGTTCCTGAAGTCTCTACCTGCACCCTCAGTACAAGGCCACCTCTAGGCCCCAGAAGAAAGATCAGAGGCTCTGAGGTGGGGACCTACAGGAAGAGGGACTGTTGTTGTTTACTAGAAAGGGGGCAGGCTGGGAAACCAGAGGCTCCCCGAGAAGGGCACAGGAAGGGGCATTGCCCAACAGGGTGGGGAAAGCACTTTCACCGGAGTGGGGCACCCCGCCCTGGGGTAGGAGGTCACCAGGGCGGGGTGCCCTCCCCATCCACCTCCAAGAAAGAGGAAGGAGCTTGCGACATCCAGGGAGGGCAAAACATTTGCTCTGGCTGGCACTGAGCAGGCCTGCAAGGAGGGGACCAGGCCCCAGGCCCCCCTCCAGCCTTCCAGGGAGCCCTTCCCCAGTGAGAGTTATCTTCCTGTCACCTGGGGAAGGAGGGGCTGTCCGCAGACACCAGTTACAGGATCCCGACTCCCCCCTAAAATCCCCACCCTGCCAGGCATCCTGGCACAGGCTTGCAATGCCAGCACTCTGGGAGGCTGGGGCAAGAGGATCGAAAGTTGGAGCCTATCCTGAGCAACTTAATAAGAGCACGTCTCAAAATAAGTAAACAAGTAAAAAAGAGCTGGGGATGTATTAGGTGTGAAGGCCCTGCGTCCAATCTCCAGTGCCCCCGATCCTGCAAAAAAAAAAAAAAAAAAAC